GATTACGTAATCGTGACTTTAGAGTGATGTTTGCGAGAGCTTTTGTTTCGGCATTGTTTATTTTTTGCGGTTTTAACTCCTTGTTGCACTTTACTGGTACTGATCGAATTAGGGTTCACATTTCCAAATCCAATTCTCGGAAATCCAATACATACTCATCAAGACAATTTATTAATCAGGTACGTAATTGATGCATAATTCGTTAATTCTCCAGTTCATTCATTCTACTCGCATTTTCTGCAGAGGTGAAACGCTGATTTTTGGACCCTCACAATCTGAAATTTATACTAGCCGGACCAGCTTACTTGCATTTACATACCGAAAATCTAATTCCTAGGTCATCTAATTTGATGAAAAATTCCTAAATTTCGATTAGTTTGGATTTAAAGCATAAAGTGACCCGGCCAACAAAGTTCCATTGTAATTCTGAAACTCAGCACAACATTTCTACCTGACCCGATATTTGTTTATGACCTGATTTTAGTTGCAGTAGAATTTTCTATAATTTATCATTCTATTAGTCTAGTTCTGTTCTCCATTGCTTGACATTTTACTAAATAGTAAAACTGTTAAAACCGAAATATATCTTAATATTTTCCAAATGTTACATTTAGACATCTTCCCGATGATCGACATACATTTTACTAACCCAACATTATCTTAGGAAGATGCTTAACATTCCTGTGATCGCACACTTTGCCGCGGCAACTTTCTTCGGAAATGTGGCCTTCAGTGCCATGGGCTTCGGCATGGCCATCTGCTACCTGTTCGTATACCAGATCGGTGCACTAGCAGGACTAACAGAGTGTTGCGCACTACCTGGACTAAAGTATGCGGTATTCATCCAGACCATAGGCATGACCGTCATCCAACCAATAGTCCTCTGGAACGTGAACCTCCGGAAGAACTTTAGATGGGATCTAATCCTGACCATGGTGCCAATGCAACTGGTTGGAGCTCCTCTCGGACAAATCCTACAAGCTTACACCCCTTCGGAAGTCCTAAAGATAATCGTAGGAGTTGTAACGATAGCGGTAGCTGCATGGCAGGCATTTAACTTATGGAGGGGTTGGAGGGCTGCTAAACAACAAAGCAAATATGAGATGGTAGAGGTTGGTCTGGAAGAAGGGACTAACGGAACTGCAAAGAGTGACGTGTTCTTCGTGGTAGGATCCCAGAAGGAGGACAGTGACTGGCTTCATGGGCTGATCAGCGACAGGAACCCACAGATAGCTTCTCCACCTGCAGCAGGTATCTTCCAACACTTCGCTCCCATCCTGGAGAGTTTCGGAGACCTTACTGCTGAGGAGAACTTCAGAACCCTGATAAACTCAGTGTGTGAGTTCATCGAAAGTAACCCGCTTCCATGGTTGGATTCGAGCAAAAACCCACTCTCCTTCGAGTCCAACTCCATCCTGAAGATGTGCGGAGAGAAGCGCACCCTAGCGGCTGTGTTTGAGGCTGTAATGGACACCTACACAGAGGCTCACAACTGCAACACCTGGCTTTGCAAATCGGAAACAACCGGTGAATACCACGAGGAACTAAAGAAACAGTTCGGAAGCAGAATCAAGTTCGTGTACCTTTACCGAGACCCCAGAGACGTGATCCAGAGCACCAGCAACGCCAACTCCCACGTCTACGTTGAAGCAGAGAACTGGGCTAAACTGCAGAGAACCGCAGCTGAACTTCCAGAGGGCAGTGTCTACAGGGTTAACTACGAGTCTGTGGTCGGAGACAAGGGTAAACAGATGGATCAACTGGATGAGTTCCTGTCTGGAGGGGCCCCCGAGAAAAAGACAAAGACCAAGCAGACAGAAGGATGGAAGGCTACCGGTAAACTAACTGACGAGGACGTTAAACTGATCGAATCTGCATGCTTCTCCGAGATGAAAGACCTGGGCTACAAAACAGTGAGCAAGAGTAAACCTAAAGTCAGCAAGAATCAGATAGAGGAATTCAGGACAACTCACGATGAAGGACTCCAGAAGACGAAACGACATTATGAGAGAAGATAACCCGAAGGAGTGGGACAGGAGTGAGAAGCAGAGGCTCGTCCTTGAAAAACACAACACTGACCTCGTTGTCATGCCCCTCACCAACGGAAACCATGCTGAACACGACGGATTACTGGAAAACGGCAAGATGGCAGGAAAGAAGGAGTCCACAGACAACAAGACCAAGATGAAGATGGTAATTAAGGATATAAGTCAGACCTTCTGGCCAATCAGGCCGAAGATAATCTGGATGTGTGTAGCTGGTCTATTCAGCGGGTTCCTCGCCGGACTCATTGGTGTGAGAAGTCCACCCCTTATAATATTCTTCTTCGTATACGAGTTTCCTCCAGTAGAGGTAAAAGCAAACGGAGCGGTCATCGCTGCAGTAAACACATGCGTCAGAATTATCACTTATCTGGCTAACCCACCCCCAGAGGAGTACGGTAGTACCACTTGGTTTGTCATGGAGGACATCTGGCTGTACCTTGTGTGTGCAGTGGTGGCTATAATGGCCTCCCCTATTGGTCTTTACTTCACCCGATACCTTAATAAGAGCGGCTACAAAGTCGGCCTCACCCTCCTTCTCATCGTGAATGGTGTTACCATGGTCTCCACGGCTGTGTTGGATATGGCTGGCTCCGGATCCTCCGCATAACCTCCCAGATAAACTCTCGAACAGTAGATGATGTGTAACCATGGTTACCGTCATCAATAGTTAAAGTATTTTAACGCTACGAGAACTGCAGTAACAGCAGTAAAAGTATTTTTACGTTATTGTAGATACCCACAAGATCTGGATTCTGGGTGGGCAGGTGAACTGTATTTGCTTTGTCACGTGATGGTGATCATGGCTTTTGATTGGTCACAAGCTGGCTTGTCGATCACTGTCACTTGTCAGAACAAATCATGGTTCACCTCCCCAGGTTCAGATCTCTAGTTCAGCTTTATGCATGTTTTACATGATATTATATATCAAGTGAAAGAACAGTTTAAGTTTTAGTTCTACAGCATTTGATATCGATGTGATGACTTGAATTGTACTTAATAAAACTAGCGGTTGTCCGTTTAAATCACGTTGTTCAGATATAATTGCAGTTTCGATCTTTAGATGCAGCATGCTTTTAATCTTGAGGTCTCTCCTAAAGTTGATGAACGAGTGTTATTAACTTAACTTTAATAATTTATTTTAAACCCTCAGATTAGAAAAGTTAGTTAATAAACTCTTTCCAATCTATTGCTGTGTTGAACTTACATGTTTTTAATTTCAGTTCACCGAAACGACGGTACATTATAATTGTTTTATACTGTATTTTAATTTTAATAAGTTTTTACAGTTTATCAGCGATTTTTCATTTAGTGTACGTAAAATCTTCATAAAGTAAAAGCATCCAATGAGTAAATAACAAACCATGCCTTGAAAAGTTGAAAGAAGTTTAGTGTGCAGACAACATATAATTTTGTGCAGATAGGATTCATATTAGTTTGGTCACAAAATATATGACCAAAAACATGTGTAGTTGGAATTGTTCTTGGAGAAGCAAAAAGGTTAAGGTTTTTTCTACCTGACAAACTCCTCTTCCATTAAAACAAGCCATCATATGGCCACGTTAGGATCAGATTTATAAAATTCAAGGTGGCTCCAAGGCAGTACCATACGGTGAACACGTGATCCGTCTAAAAGGAAAAAGAAATATTTAAATTCATGAATATGACGTAAAAGGTAGTTGAACTGGGCCACCATAAAATTGAACGTTTTAATCAAGTGTAAAGGAGCCGATCTAAAAAATTATTCAACAATTAAGCAAGAAATTATGATCAAAAAATTTACCGCCATAGAGAACCAAGAAAAAATAAAATTGGTTATCAGTTAGACTGGGCGGTTGTTGACCGGCTCTCAGTCGGGGGCCTAATTTTGCGATAATTAGACCCCAACTTTGTCTAGTTTCATCCCAAATCTCTGTATTTTCATCCGACTTTCCTTCTGCTTCACAAATAATACCCCAGTATGTGCGACGCGAATTGGGGCCCATGACCTACTTAACTTCCCATAACCTACCTAACTGTTTACTGTTGATATATAACGTTCACTGTTCATTATGTACGAGGTTTTTACGAAGCGCTGTTCATCAAGACAATTTAATAATAACAGTTGTTTTATAATATCACGTCCTCAGGACACACGTGCAATAATGAGCGCGCATTGTTCACCACATGTCGTGATAACATTGTACTCCATATCAACAACTCCGATCCGGTCGTTAACTAGTCCGCTTCCGGTTATCTCGGCAGTAATCAAATCTTAAAACCTGGCCTCGATCTGACTATGTTAGTATAATACAATTTAAATTACAAGCTTTATCTCCACATCATTATTTTACAATTATCTCCGGGGCTTCTCAAGAAATCAACCGTTATTTAGGGCCCTATTTAGTGGCTCTTATCACCAATTCGAATCTGATATTGATGAGTGAAGACATGACTCATATCAAGTACGGCTCCACATGCAGCATTCACCCCTTTCGCATGCACCCCCTTCAACGACCCATTAATCAATATGATGGGCCCGGCGCTGTATGACAATGTTTTACCCCTTGATAAGATGAACTTAAGTCCGGCAGTTAGGCGGGGGCCTACCTTCCACTTTCGTAGAAAATTAAAAAACCCTTCCTCTGACAAATGGAATATATAAGACGATTTACACGTGTATTTTGAAAGCTCCTGCTAAAACAAACTTTTCGTATATCTTATATTATATGTTTTCAAACAAATCCCCCTCCAGGAATATATTTAAAGTGGGTTAGAATCAGAACATGTCGGAAATTATTCTATTATAGCTATTATAATATTATCCCAATAACATTACTAAGCTATATATTTATAAATATACTACATGTATATTTATTATTTACATGTAGTTTATTTATAAATATATATATATAATAATATATTAATAATTATCATATATCGATATAATTGTTTAAAATATCCCTGTGGTAGTTTTACCTGATTACAGTTAATGGAAGCTAGTTGGAGTTTGTTGGTAAGTTTCTTGTCTATCCTGACACACACTTCACCCATTCCCAGGAGGGGAGACCCGCGGTGGGAGATGCCCAGAAAGTGCTGAAAAGTTGGGTTTAACTTGAAATAAGTTGAATGAAATTTAGATAAAAGTATAATCATTTCCCATTGAAATTATGCATCATGCAAAAATAAAGGAGCTAATAATTAAGGGGTAGAATTGGTTTTAGAGTCTCCCAAAGTTAATCCTCAAGAAGTACAGTACAACTCCGTGTACAATGTACATTGTACAATGTACACGGAGTACACTGTACAACACTTCTCTTATCTTCTGAACAGTGTAAAGATGTAGAATACACGATTATCATCCTGATTACAAGGATACAATCATAGAGGCTGCTGTATGTGAATCGGGGATGATTTGGATCGTTACATTGCATTGGATGAAGTGAAATGTGAAGCAGCATGATTTTTAACCGTCCTAATACCGATAATATTAATAAAGCTGTCGATAATTTCATAAACCCTTGAAAGTTTATGAGCATCTATAGTAGAACAATCCACTCAACAGATAAAGCATCGAGCTCCAATAAGATAAAGAATTAAGGACTTGGTGAGAAGAAACATGGCTGTAAGAAGTACATAATTTGGGCACCCTGTGGCACTGGTTACCATGACAACTTACCAAGCGTAGTTTCCTAAAGATGTAGGGATGCTCCTAAAATCTACATTGAAAAGGGGCGTGATAAGAATTACTGAGTCCGATATGTTGGGCATGATCATGGTTAAATGAATAACGGTTTTCATGGAGAGGTGACGCATATTTTCTCCCATAAAAACGTAGAGGGCACACAGTTAAACAAATATTATGCCTTTACTGATCTCATTGAGTGCTTAAATTGATTTCATCGAAGTTTTTTTCTGGAGTCGATTCCAAAAAATAAACTCGATAAAATCAGTTTAAATCAACATGCAACTCCAGAACTATGCGTAATTCGGATTAATCTGACTACTAAACGAAAAGTCTCGCTTATTGTAGCGTCAATATGGGTCACCTCCCCGCTGATTACCGAGATCCATAGGTCACGTGAGATGATGCCCATATAAGGGCATCACGTGAGATGATGCCCATATAAGGGCATCACGTGAGGGCTGGCAGAGAAAGTGGGATCAGTACGAGGTTGTACCGGGAATTTGGTGGGTACTGGCGGGGGGCTACGGTGAGAAATACCAAGGAAATGCTGAAATTATATTATACATATGGTAGAACTATACACTAGTTATAGTAGTATTGTTGGAGTCTTTATTTGTTTATAATATGTATAAATATGTGTTAGTGAGAATGGTATTACCATATGACATATCAATGGGGTTTCTCATAGTTGCATGGTTCTAATAATAACTGATTCAGCCGAAATTTGTAATTTTGTTGGAATCGGCTTTCGGAGTCGTCCTACTATTATAGTAAAACCCACCAAGCACCAAGCCAGGGTTCACATCTGAAACTGATTCCAATCAAACGATTCTAAGAACTCAGAAACTGGTTCAGAATCTCTTGCTTACCCATTTGTTGTCTAGAAAGTTGTGATCAACAGAAGTTGTTGTGAATTCTTTTCGGTTACAAACTGCTATGTGTAGTGTTCCGTCCGGTCGGAAGAATCCTTCGAACCCGTAGCCGTTAGCATTGTAAAAACTGAAAACACATGTCTTAATAAAGTTATTTGTGTCATGAAAACAATATATTTTCAATCATGAAATAACCTTAATTATAATATTTCCAATATGTACAAAATGTATTTCGAAAATGCCCAAACTTTCGTCAAAGTTTCTTAATCTGATACATGTACACCAGTTCTCTAACCTGTATAAGGTATATCTCTCTTCACAGAGGGTTGTGTCGGGGGACATGGGACGACGTCCGGCACTCTTCAGGTCTAGTTTAAACCAGCACACAAACGTGTAACAATTCTTACCGTGCGGCCACACTTTTATCTCTGGAACAGTTATACCCTGCAGAAAAGCAGTGTTTATATGATAACTACCCTGGTTACCGTGACAATTAGATTGGTTACCATGACAACTACACTAGTTACCATGACAACTACACTGGTTTAGTGGTGCAACGTTGCCTGTTGGCGCCCCCCCCCCCTGCTGAAAAAGCGTCCCCTGTTGGCAACGTCTATGCAACGTCTATGCAACGTCCCTGCACAGTACCATATGAACACCGGCTACTAGCCGGCTACTAGCCGGCTAGTAGCCACTTTTGTAATAACAGCTCCTCAACTTCACATTAACAACCGGCTACTAGCCGGCACTTGAAAAGCGGTCACTAGCCGGCTACTAACCGGCTACTAACCGGCTAGTAACCACCAAGTGGCTACTAACCGGCTACTAACCGGTCACTAGCCGGCTCTAAAGCAGACCTATTAGTAGCCGGTTCTAAACCGGCTACTAGCCGGCTAGTGACCGCTTAGTAGCCGGTTAGTAGCCACTTTGTGGTCACTAGCCGGCTAGTAGCCGGTTAGTAGCCGGCTAGTGACCACTTTTCAAGTGCCGGTTAGTAGCCGGTTGGTAATGTGAAGTTGAGGAGCTGTTATTACAAAAGTGGCTACTAGCCGGCTAGTAGCCGGCTAGTAGCCGGTGTTCATATGGTACTGTGCAGGGACGTTGCATAGACGTTGCATAGACGTTGCATAGACGTTGCATAGACTGACCGTGCAGGGAGTGTGCATAGAGTGTTCATTGTGCAGGGACGTTGCATAGACGTTGCATAGACGGTTCTTTTGTTGTTGCATGGACGTTGCATAGACGTTGCATAGACTGTCCGGAGCTAAACGACCAAGTTGCCTCTCTAAAATAGTTAGTAAATCTCACCGGGCACTCCTTTTGATCGGGCGAGTCTCCCAGTCCAGTGTGGTAACAATACTTACGGCAGTTTGGTGCTGTAGATCGAAGAAGTGGTTAGGACCCTCAGCCCCTTTTCCTTTCGCCATCCTTTCAAGAGAAACTTGTAACCTTTCCGTGAAATTCGGCTGAAATTAACAATACTCCCGTCATGATCAAATTTTAAGTAAGTAAGTGTTCTGTGTAAATTTCTATTGATCCCGTTTGATGCGACAAGGAAAAGGCTCTTATGATCAGGAAAGGAATTATTCAACGTTTCAATGTGACAACATCGTATTCATGATCTCAATAAATGTATTTAATTGTAGTTGTGAAAATGGTTTTTTTTAAAGAAGTTTTTAAACTATTTTCACAACTACAATTAAATACATTTATTGAGATCATGAATACGATGTTGTCACATTGAAACGTTGAATAATTCCTTTCCTGATAAGAGCCTTTTTCTTGTCGCATCAAACGGGATCAATAGAAATTTACCCAAGAGAACATTTCAACTATGCGACTTATAAATAATATTCCAATCCGGATTTTACATGTTCTGTGTACCTCGGTCGTTTCTTACACTGCCGTAATTAATGATGAAATGACCGGACCTCTTTATTAGGCTTATTAGTTCGGAAAATAGAGGCTGGAAAAATGTAGTCATGTGAAGTGTTTCAATTCGGAAATAAAGGCTAGAAAAATGTAAGATACGTTTTAAATATTTAATACTCACAATCTGATAATCTACTTGAAATAGGAGGATGAATTGTCGGACCTCGATCGCAGATATAGAATACCTGCAAAGTACCAATTGTGGGGAGGGAAATTATTTTCCATATGGCTATTCTCATGGTAGAGCGACAAAAGCTGGGTGAAACTTCAGATAACAAACATGCGAACATTAGATGGTTGCCAGACCATTATAGTATAGCAGTTCAAATATACACACAAGATAATAGTGAATATAAAGATATAATAACTGACAACAAGAGAAACATGTACATTGTACATTGTACATTGTACAAATGACACGTCTCTTTAAAAGAGACACAAATGTGACGTACCCTCCTATTTTCTCCACTATAGCCAGGAGCTGCTCGACAAGATGTGAGGTGAGGGGTCGTGTGGGGGAGGACAGGAAACTTGTTATAACTGTTATTATCCCGCCACTGCTGCACCTGTAACCATCTCAGTGTTAAATCATGCTTAGTTCTTTAGTACTTGTATTGAAATAATATTGAAACAATTGCAGAAATTCCACTTTCTGCGCGATCTTCTCACGGTTTTTCACATTATTTATTCTAGGACATTCTTCCTAGCCTAAAGCTGAACACGTCGTGTGGCGTTTTTCATTACCAGTTATCCAAATGGGATCCAAATTATCAGTTTCACGGATAGAATACAGATATAACCATATTGTTAGGTTCTTACCTCATGACTGATAGCATGTTGGCAGTGATTATATCCAGGATCTTATCTAGAAGATATGATAAGAACTCGTTCTCAGAATCCCCAGGCATGGTGAAGGACCACTTGAGAAACACTTTTAGCAGCTCCAAGTTCTGGATTACAATAAACTCTGCTTTATGTTGTCCTTCCACGACCTAGTCAGGGGGTTGTAGGTGAGACTAAAATTTCAATATAAATACTTTAAGTAAGACACATACTCCTTGCTTTCGTTCAATAGTTCAGAGCAGAGTGGATATAACCTAAGATATTTAAGAAATGTCAGAGTTGTGCTTGGATTGGAAAACACAGATTTCAGGACGATTATCAATGCTCACCATGTCAAGGATAGCTTGTATGATCTTGAGAGAGGGGGATGTTATATTATCCAGCATTTTTAAATACCCTATGTGGGCTTCGAACTCCTCTTTGGCTGGAAATAGAAAGTATTAAGTGAGAAACAGGCCATACATTTTTAAACACGCTGATACATGTGTATAGTACGTTAATATCACCCAACTATCATACTATTAAATCATGGTAGAATTAAAGTCTTGCAATCTAAAAAAGCAAATTTTCTGATTATTTTTCTCATCTCTCTGTCTCTATGTCGATGTGTAGAAGGATGACACAGTATTTGCAAACGCTTAAGGAACGTTGTCTAAACCCAATCCAAGCTCATGTAATCGTTAAACATAGGTATGTTTAACTTTAAATATAACTTCCAATGAAGGGTTAAACGAGCTAAACAAGATGTTCAGGAATTCAGTTAAACAAATTTGAGCAAAATTCAATAATTTCAAAGAATGCTGCAAACATTCGAGCACGATTTATGTCATTGCTACATAATATTATTATCTCCTATCAAGTTACTAATTACAAGATTAACTGTTTTTTCATCATTACATAGCTTCACACCAGAGCAAACAGAATCAATACCCAGCCTGATTTATAACTCACATGAGGATGATTTTCTCATCAGTGAAGAGTAGGCTCTGATACAACTGATAATAACAGCTTCTCGAGCGTTGCACTCGCTCAAAACTCTGAACAACTTATCGAACACGAACACTCCGAGGAAAGACGACTGGAGAGACGGTCGGTCCTTCACTCTCAGAATCCGGGGGATTAGTTCTGAAATGTTGGGGGTTTATTAGTTAACGAAAGATCAGATTATGGGATTGTTTTTACTTGCTTTCTCGATCCATTTCATTTGCAATCTTAAATTCTATATTTCATGGGAATATCATGACGTTCGCGCGATAAACATAAAATAATTTGACTCGCGCGTTCCAATTTAAAATTAAGTAGACCCTTTGACCACCAAAATGCAGAGCATTGCCGCAGTGAATGTCTGGGTATTGTCTGTATAACTGATTACGCAGTGGTCACTTCATAAAATCTACTCAAAATACACGACCATATACACGGTGTTCGTAATATTTACAAGGTTAATCAGTACAAACACAATCTTGAGTCCAGTGACAGAAATGAGAAAAACTCAAATTTATAATCGGACAGTGGATATGATCGGAATGTCACTTACCGATGTACAGGGAAAGCATTTCATACTCCTCATCCTTGGCTCTGAAACAAAGCAATATTTAGGCAACTCACTACATCCCTTCAGTTGGTATCTGTTACACATGATGTGCTGTTACACATGATGTGCTGTTACACATGATGTGCTGTTACACATGATGTGCTGTTACACATGATATGTTGTTACACATGATGTGCTGTTACACATGATGTGCTGTTACACATTGCATGTGCTGTTACACATGTGCTGTTACACACGATGTGCTGTTACACATGATGTGCTGTTACACATGATGTCCTGTTACACATGTCCTGTTACACATGTCCTGTTACACATGATGTGCTGTTACACATGATGTCCTGTTACACATGTGCTTATACAATGGTTTATCAGGTATACATGGTACAGTTTCCACCCAACATTTCAAATTGACACGCCAGTACGCCTTGTCGAGTACTGCTTCCGTACTATCATCAGCACTGTTATGAAGTAACAGAGTAACAATTATAGACACTGTGTTTTACCAATTATCAGATATATTCTAATGAGGAAGTTTGTATCCTTCCCTTTGAAGTATTCCAAATTACGACACATATACGAAACCACTTGCTCGGCGATAAAGATAACAGGATGGTATTTACAGATATTAGAGCAGCATTGGATTTCACTAAAGTATTTTTAACATCAATATGATGCGGTGTCTACGTAATATAATAACTGTAAATACAGGGTTCAAAACAGCTTCTGTCATTAATCATGTTTCAAGGCTTATCCAAGGTATTATGTATAATTTACTACATATTTAAGCGAACAAGGAAATCACACGTTAAATATTAGTTTTAAACTTGGTCACGTGACCTAGAAATGGTCACATCTGGTGTCAACTTATTCTCATTATGCGAATATACGAGTACACACTACACAGAGTACATCACCAGATATTATTACCATATATGGGCATCACGTGTTACCATATATGGGCATCACGTGATCGATATAAAGACAACGATAAAGCTTAATCCCGGTGATTCAGTGGTCTCTGCGTATTGTACAAAGTACTCAAAGTACTCAAAGTAAGTATGTACGCTTAAATATTTGGTATGTAAATGTATGGCTCCTCCTTTTACCTCCTCTTACCTGCCATGTGGTATTGGTTACGGAAAGGTTATTACAAGGTGAGGCAATTGTTAATAATTATTGTGAGGTAAGGAGTAATACAATGTACTTCAGTTATTCATGTAATTATTTTACATAATATACTGAAGTATTTCATATAAGTATTTTATTTAACATACTGAAGTATTTCATATAAGTATTTTATTTAATATACTGAAGTATTTCATATAATTATTTTATTTAATATACTGTGAGAAGTATTTTATAGAATTATTTTATACACTGAGGTCAAAGAAATGGTCCACATTGTTCTGTGCCGAAGTTCCAATGTGTGTCGTATACAATAACAGCACTGAACTGCATCTTTATTCTTGTGTCAAACAGTAGGCCCGTGGCAATATCTGAGAGCACTTTGTGATTGGTGTGATTCCGGGCTTTCTATTGGACGGTTAAACTCTCTTAAACTTAATAGTAGAATTCAGTAAATAAAGACAAGTAACAACTGAGTAGTCGATGTGGTTATGACATATTAGGCGAGGGGATATGGCAACAATACAATAGTATTCCGGAAGGAAACCGAGGTACGTTTAGTATTGAATCTGTTATATCAAATACCTAACATGTATATCAAATACCTAACGTGACAGTTTATATATTGTTGCTTCTACGGAGCAGTTTCTGTGCCTCATTGTATCTGTCAATGTTGTGCTGGATAACTTTAAATGTTGATGAGAATATTATATTTGGATGCAATTGTGATCCCTTGCTAATTTTGGATATCAAGTTTTGTTTCGATTCATCTGATCATTGCAAACAGATTTGGTCAAAAAAACAAAACCCCTGCCAATCTTCATGATATCTCCAAACATCCTTATTCTGTAAACAGATCCCTAGTATATTTGTTAATAAAGCGGGCATCTGCTTAAAATCATTCAACTGTTTGCTAATTTACTTACTTGAGAGAAATTTCCTGAAGGTAAATGCTCAGCAGGGATCTGACGTCAATTTGTCTCTGAAACAATAAAGAACATCATTATTTGTGAATATTAACTCGAATGATCGTGTGAATTTACACTATTATTAAATGATAAATATAATAATCACGTGCGTTACCGATTACCATTATAATCGACATATTCATTATTACATAATATGTTAGCTGCGCTCCAAATCAGAACTAATATCAAGTAACACAAAATACAACGAACGAACGAACGAACGAACGAACGAACGAACGAACGAACGAACGAACGAACGAACGAACGAACGAACGAACGAACGAACGAACGAACGAACGAACGAACGAACGAACGAACGAACGAACGAACGAACGAACGAACGAACGAACGAACGAACGAACGAACGAACGAACGAACGAACGAACGAACGAACGAACGAACGAACGAACGAACGAACGAACGAACGAACGAACGAACGAAGGATGTCCTACCTTATCAGGTCTGGAGTTGTGGGTCTGCTGAATGTAGATAAGAACACACTGTATAACTAGGTCTCTGTGTTCAGGGCACGTGTTTATCAGGGAGAGTAAGGCTGTGAACGTACTGTCGTTTATAATACCACACGCTGTTTCCTGGGTTATTATAATATTATAATATTAGAGACAGGTTAAATTTGGGGTGGGTTTTACCAGAAAATTAGAAATTTATGAGAAAAATAACCAGTTCATCAGTTATATAATTCAGTTCAATTAATATTCCCAATATCATACCTCTCAGGAGCTAAGACAGGTATTGACAATGAGTCATAATTAATTAGTCATAATTAATTAGTCATAATTAATAATCACGTGACCTGAAAATCTGTAGTTAATCAGAGGACACATAAAACCTGTGCTTATTTGATATAATTACATCCCGGTTAACATTGATATCAAATGTACGAGATATAAGATGATATTTCTAGACAAAGACGGGTCAGAACTCAGATCAATGAAAAATGAGGAGGCTGATCATTTCAATGATAGATATAACAGTGAAGAGCAGCTGACCAGGCTAATAGGACTAATAAAGCTAATTAGGTTCAATTTAAGAGATACCGTAACATTAATTGAATCTCTGCTAAGTGTTTTAATACAAGTGGATCTCCTCTTTGAACGATCCTATTCTTTAAAGATCACATTACTAAGAACAAGGGATCAGGTCACTAAGACCGGGGGATCAAATCTCGGAATCAAAGTTAAATCTAATCTTCACCAACAAGAGATCAGACATACTAAAATACTATAATATTTCAGAGAATCAGGTGTTAACACCACTAATAGCAGTATATTAAACCTTAGTTCCCAAAGATTTATGTGCCAAAACTTTCGGCAGGATATTCATTTTTTACTTTTTTTAGACGAGGTAATTTTGAAAGAGAGGGCCACCTAAATTTATTGTCGCTCAAATGTTTGAGAACTAAGGTAATATGACGTGTAATAATTAATCAGGTGTTTATCAGTATAACGGTGCTACCACGGGGAGGAAGAGTGGGGGGGAGTTATAGTGGGGGGGGGGGAGGGGGAGAACTAATGTAATATGACGTGTAATCATTAATCAGGTGTTTATCAGTATAACGGTGCTACCACGGGGAGGGGGAGTGGGGGGGGGGGGGTTATAGTGGGGAGGAGGGGGAGAACTAAGGTAATATGACGTGTAGTAGAATCATGTGTTTATCAGTATAACGGTGCTACCACGGGGAGGGGGAGTGGGGGGGGTTATAGTGGGGGGGAGGGGGAGAACTAATGTAATATGACGTGTAATCATTAATCAGGTGTTTATCAGTATAACGGTGCTACCACGGGGAGGGGGAGTGGGGGGAGTTATAGTGGGGGGGGGGGGGGGAGAACTAAGGTTACAATATGACGTGTAATCATTAATCAGGTGTTTATCAGTATAACGGTGCTACCACGGGGAGGGGGAGTGGGGGGGGTTATAGTGGGGGGGGGGGGAGAACTAAGGTAATATGACGTGTAATAATTAATCAGGTGTTTATCAGTATAACGGTGCTACCACGAGAAGGGGGAGTGGGGGGGTTATAGTGGGGGGAGGGGGAGAACTAAGGTAATATGACGTGTAATAATTAATCATGTGTTTATCAGTATAACGGTGCTACCACGAGGAGGGGGAGTGGGGGGGGAGTTATAGTGGGGGGGGGGGAGGGGGAGAACTAATGTAATATGACGTGTAATCATTAATCAGGTGTTTATCAGTATAACGGTGCTACCACGGGGAGGGGGAGTGGGGGGGGAGGAGGGGGAGAACTAATGTAATATGACGTGTGATCATTAATCAGGTGTTTATCAGTATAACGGTGCTACCACGGGGAGGGGGAGTGGGGGGGGAGGGGGAGAACTAAGGTAATATGACGTGTAATAATTAATCAGGTGTTTATCAGTATAACGGTGCTACCACGGGGAGGGGGAGTGGGGGGGGGGGGGGGGGGGGAGAACTAAGGTAATATGACGTGTAATAATTAATCAGGTGTTTATCAGTATAACGGTGCTACCACGGGGAGGGGGAGTGGGGGGGGGAGTTATAGTGGGGGGGAGGGGGAGAACTAAGGTAATATGACGTGTAATAATTAATCAGGTGTTTATCAGTATAACGGTGCTACCACGGGGAGGGGGAGTGGGGGGGGGGAGGAGGGGGAGAACTAATGTAATATGACGTGTAATAATTAATCATGTGTTTATCAGTATAACGGTGCTACCAAGGGGAGGGGGAGTGGGGGGGAGGAGGGGGAGAACTAATGTAATATGACGTGTAATCATTAATCAGGTGTTTATCAGTATAACGGTGCTACCACGGGGAGGGGGAGTGGGGGGGGGGGGGAGGGGGAGAACTAAGGTAATATGACGTGTAATAATTAATCAGGTGTTTATCAGTATAACGGTGCTACCACGGGGAGGGGGAGTGGGGGGAGGAGGGGGAGAACTAATGTAATATGACGTGTAATAATTAATCATGTGTTTATCAGTATAACGGTGCTACCACGGGGAGGGGGAGTGGGGGGGGAGTTATAGTGGGGGGGAGGGGGAGAACTAAGGTAATATGACGTGTAATAATTAATCAGGTGTTTATCAGTATAACGGTGCTACCACGGGGAGGGGGAGTGGGGGGGAGTTATAGTGGGGGGGAGGGGGAGAACTAAGGTAATATGACGTGTAATAATTAATCAGGTGTTTATCAGTATAACGGTGCTACCACGGGGAGGGGGAGTGGGGGGGGAGGGGAGAACTAAGGTAATATGACGTGTAATAATTAATCAGGTGTTTATCAGTATAACGGTGCTACCACGAGGAGGGGGAGTGAGGGGGGGGGGGAGAACTAAGGTAATATATGACGTGTAATCATTAATCAGGTGTTTATCAGTATAACGGTGCTACCACGGGGAGGGGGAGTGGGGGGGAGTTATAGTGGGGGGGGAGGGGGAGAACTAAGGTAATATGACGTGTAATAATTAATCAGGTGTTTATCAGTATAACTGTGCTACCACGGGGAGGGGGAGTGGGGGGAGTTATAGTGGGGGGGAGGGGGAGAACTAAGGTAATATGACGTGTAATAATTAATCAGGTGTTTATCAGTATAACGGTGCTACCACGAGGAGGGGGAGTGGGGGGGGGGGGGGAGAACTAAGGTAATATATGACGTGTAATCATTAATCAGGTGTTTATCAGTATAACGGTGCTACCACGGGGAGGGGGAGTGGGGGGGAGTTATAGTGGGGGGGGGGAGGGGGAGAACTAAGGTAATATATGACGTGTAATCATTAATCATGTGTTTATCAGTATAACGGTGCTACCACGGGGAGGGGGAGTGGGGGGGGGAGAACTAAGGTAATATGACGTGTAATAATTAATCAGGTGTTTATCAGTATAACGGTGCTACCACGGGGAGGGGGAGTGGGGGGAGTTATAGTGGGGGGGGGGAGGGGGAGAACTAAGGTAATATGACGTGTAATCATTAATCAGGTGTTTATCAGTATAACGGTGCTACCACGGGGAGGGGGAGTGGGGGGGAGTTATAGTGGGGGGAGGGGGAGAACTAAGGTAATATGACGTGTAATCATTAATCAGGTGTTTATCAGTATAACGGTGCTACCACGGGGAGGGGGAGTGGGGGGAGTTATAGTGGGGGGGGGAGAACTAAGGTAATATGACGTGTAATCATTAATCAGGTGTTTATCAGTATAACGGTGCTACCACGGGGAGGGGGAGTGGGGGGAGTTATAGTGGGGGGGGGGGAGAACTAAGGTAATATGACGTGTAATCATTAATCAGGTGTTTATCAGTATAACGGTGCTACCACGGGGAGGGGGAGTGGGGGGGGTTATAGTGGGGGGGGGGAGAACTAAGGTAATATGACGTGTAATCATTAATCAGGTGTTTATCAGTATAACGGTGCTACCACGGGGAGGGGGAGTGGGGGGGAGTTATAGTGGGGGGGGGGAGGGGGAGAACTAAGGTAATATGACGTGTAATCATTAATCAGGTGTTTATCAGTATAACGGTGCTACCACGGGGAGGGGGAGTGGGGGGAGTTATAGTGGGGGGGGGGAGAACTAAGGTAATATGACGTGTAATCATTAATCAGGTGTTTATCAGTATAACGGTGCTACCACGGACTAAGACCCTCACCGACACCAGACAGGACATGTTGTAGCACACTTCAGTCAGAATCACGTGAGGAGACTGCAGGTTAACGGGATGAAATCACACAATAAAGAGTGCGATGAAATCACACAGAAAACCGGAAAACGGTATAATAAAATCACACAATGAAACGGTGTGATAAAATCACACAATGAAACGGTGTGATAAAATCACACAATGAAACGGTGTGATAAAATCACACAATGAAACGGTGCGATAAAATCACACAATGAAACGGTGTGACAAAATCACACAATAAACAGTGCGATAAAATCACAGAGAAAAAGGTGTGATAAAATCACAGAGAAAACGGTGTGATGAAGTCACAGAGAAAACGGTGTGATGAAATCACAGAGAAAACGGTGTGATGAATCACAGAGAAAACGGTGTGATAAAATCACACAGAAAACGGTGTGATAAAATCGCACAGAAAACGGTGTGATAAAATCGCACAGAAAACGGTGTGATAAAATCACATAATAAAAAAGAACGTTAGAACTATTGTGATGCCTTCTATTCATTGGGTTCCAAATTGAAATCTTACAGTTTGAAATAAAGTGGTTGGACACAAATCTGGGAAAAGGGCTGACATAAATAAACAAGAAAAACTGGGTCACAATATTGAATATAGCCGGTTTGCCTTTAACCAAATTTTCAAGGTTTCGAATTTTTATAAATTTATAAAGTACTGTATGTAGAATTACAGTGAATAAATTATAGAAAGTGAAAATATAGAAAGTTCAGGAAATCGAAAAGAAATTCCATACCAACGAAACATTTAATTTAAATAAATTGAAAAACGATCGTCATTGAATAAGACTAGATGTCGTCACAAAGTAGACTGTCGTCACAAAGTAGACTGTCATCACAAAGTAGACTGTCGTCACTGTCGTCAAAATCATAAATTCCTTGCTTACCTCTCCTCCACAAAGGAATGTTCCTAACAAATCCAAAGCTAAGAGCTTGTGCTTAACTTTACACTCTTTACTGTTGAAGATACCTGTAAGTCAGAAAAGTATGAGGAATAATGCATTTCCTATTATGACGTCCTACCAGATCATGAGAGACCTTTACCTCTTTACCGATCGTTAAAATTCGACATCTAGTGCTAGATGTTGTCCACAAAAAGTCCAAAATTCTCTTCAAATAGTGAGTATTCTGGCGACAGTGTCGCGTAGTTAGCGTTATCTGACGCTAGATAGCGTTATCTAGTGTCATCTATCGTCATAGCATAATCTAGCGCTAGATGACGAATTTCAACTATCGGTAAAGGTCTATCATGAGGTCACAACTGATATTGAGATAACAGCATTCCTTTATCATAATTGGTAGCTAGAACTACATAACTCCACTAATATAATTAAAACATATATAATGTTACCATTAATGGCAATCCTAAAGTTGCCTCTAGCAGTGGTGTTGAGAACGCTGTGAGCGCTGAGGTTAGACACTACTACAGGAGCTTGTATACTGGCGGGGTCGTCTAGTGCTAGTGCGTCTAGCAGGGTCTCTTCTTTACAGCTGTAAAGTGGGGTCGTTATAGTGATAGGGGGGGGGTTAAAGCCAGCGGTGGTGTTTCGGAATCATCATTTTAAAGATCTTAAACAGACAGTCTCTACTTGCCCAACATTAACATTTAGTATCTGGTAATGTAATTTGGATTCTGGTGGGGATGATCAGACATAGGACTGTCGTAATCAGAATATTCAAATTTACTAAAATTTGACATTTAATATATTAATTTAATATTAAACATTTAATATAATATCGAATGTAATAATCGTTACCTCTTGACAATGTTCATCCAGTTGTTCTGTCTATCGCACATGAAACTGTAATAGCATGTTATCTGAAAACATACTCTTGTTATTACAGGTGGTGTGAAATAACAATATTCTAACACAACAGACCAACTCAATCTTCACTAATTACACTCTCCAATCATCATTATAGCATGTCTGCATTCTTGACAATGTCTGATTAAAACTTGAATGCATAATTTCTCAAGGTATTATTTTTGTTATTCAAGTAGAGCAAACAATCGTATAATAATATAATAATATTATAATGTAGCTGAACTCCTCAATTTTAAACTGTCTAGAAGTTCTAGTATAATTAACTTTAGCCATTACCCACATTTCTCTCAATTTACCTCTAAAAGTATGGCTTGTAGCCAGTTAGCTACTGCTTGGTTAGCGTTGACATTACTGACAGGCAGATTAGCATTGTTCACAACAGCTATACACGTCTTAGTAAGGGTCTGAGAAGTGACAACTGCTGCGTATGATATGGACACGTCCAGCTGAGCTTGCGATAGTGGCTGTATGTTCTCGCTGCATCTGAGGAGATTGGTTCTGGTTTTATGATATTATGTAATAAAGGTAGAGTATAGCTGTTAAAAATTTGTTCAAGTAAGAAACTTATTTGGTTGGAAAACATTTTTCTTGAACAGTTTAGCTAAGCATGTAATTTGACAATTTCTTTGTCTCTCTTAAAAACCTAGAATTTTCAAGAATTTAACGTCATATCCACTCGAACACTAAAGATAAAGACGAGTACCTCGATAATATCACCAGATAAAGTATGAGACCGTGAGCTCGAGATAGGGGCAGCGTAGCGTCCCCTCCTGAGTCAAAAACTGAAAATATAGAGTTATAATGTGAATTATCGATTTTCTGTGTTTCAGTAGTGGTCTGTACTTAATCCAAATAGACAGTTAGTTGTAGAGCGTATTATCAAGTCTGTATTCCCTTTTCTTTCAAACTAAATACAAGATTTACTTTATATAATATATTATATACAGTAGCAGTAGTAGTAGCATCGTGTATAATAATGATATAAAAGTGATGAAAAGTTGAGATATGATAAATGACTCATTTCATTTTACATGAATGTCGGTTTAAACTCTGTTTAACCTTCTTTAAGGTAGCTCATCTGATTCTCCAGCTCTTTAGCTAGGATCTTTGGAAGGTCATTCTGATGATTCTTCAGATTTAGCTGGGCTTCCTGTTGCCTGAAGACAAATAATGTTGTTTCTAACAGGTAATCTTTGCAAATTGTATTCGATAGAGTATGTATAAACTAATTGGAAAGATTCAAAGCCATTTTGAAAACTTCTTTATTTACATTTTTCATGGTTTGCAAGACTGTAGAACACAAAAATTTTGTACTTAAAAAATTCTATCGATAGTTCAGTGATTTGAGCTTACTTGGATAGAGAGCTGGTCAGAGATTGCTGGAGAGTGTCATGATGAAACCCATACACCGATCTCATCTCCTTCAGGTGGATGTCCAAGCTGGCATTTGTTGCTTCAATGTCTCCTACTTGGTGGGACGTGGCAAATCTTTGCCATGTTGCTCGCAACTTGGCACTTTGTATTGTTCTGAAATTTAATGTTTATTTACTTGGTGATAGTATAAAAACGGGGTATTTTTTATAATTTCATATTTTGAAACAAAACAAGAGGGATCTAAAATCAAACACGGATCACTACTAGAATCATGTTTGAATTTGAGAATCTTGAAAGGTAGGATTGCAGGGATCGGATGTTAAGTCAAAAAGTAGGGACTATATTTGTGATCATGTAGTTCACCCATGATCCCAATTGAATGTTTAATAAAAACGTTCGCGTTGTTCGATCTATTTACAGACATTGATTCTTTGTTTGGAGGCATTTTTATCACTGATATCACGTCTGTCTGCAACTAATACACAAAGAACAACACAAAACAATGAGTATAGTAATAAACCAACGTTGTGGCACGTACTTGTCCTAGACAAAGTAAAACTGGACCAGGAATAACACTGAGCCCCTGTCCCACAGTATTGTAAAACAGTCGCCAAATTATGTAAAATTACGTGTACAGTGCATGGTGGATATTAGGGGGATCCTAGAGTCATCATGCATGATTACTAATCTGCAAGACCGTTTCCACTCCTATTATTCAGTTTCGGTTTCATGCTTGCAATGTTCATACATAAAACCTAAACTGAATAATATATGTGGAAACGATCTCACATGTCAGCTTGTAATATGTAATGCATTTTTTAGCTTTACTTCCTAATATGCAGAATGCACCCCCGACGTGCACTTAACACAATTATATCATAAATTAGTAAATATTTTAGCTTTGTTATTGCCAAACTGCAGAACAGGTCAATGTTATTCCTAGATCAATTTTACCTTGTCAAAGTCCAGAAACTTCAGTTTAATACTGTTCTCTTAGTTTCTTCTTTGTATATTAGTTGTAGAGACGAGAAGCCAGTTAAATGAAATTTGCTCAAAATATTGTACTCACTGCTCAGAGCAATATAACCTTGATTCTGCAAGTGTACATCTGCATCATTTATTTAAATTGACAGGTTTGCTCACCTTGATTCCTGCTCTGGGGTCATTGACCCAACATACTGCACTCCACTCATTGCTTTCTCATTTCAAATTCATAGAGCTAAATGTTCAATTATCAGTGGAGAGGTAAACCACATTCATCCTGACATGTACAGCAATTAACTAGTCAACTTCCAGCATTGACCAATAAATATCAAGAATCGTTGACAGATGCCAAAACAAATGCACCTGCCAAAACAGGGAGACTAAGGCTATCTCAGATCCACAAAGATGTATGGATCTGTAACCATAGATCCAGTGAAGAGCTTGCAGGAAGGAAGCATCTGAAGATCTGATCACTGACCTGAAGAAGAATAGGACTGAACAGATTCACCTCAGCCACTACATCCGGCACAGGGAGGTCTGTAACTGTGTTATAAGGACACCATGAAGTAATTTATGTCTCTAGGACACTGGTGAGTATATGTATGAGTATCATACATATAATATAGAGTTAATTCTGGCGGTATCTATATTTTAGAGACAATTGTATTTATGTACTATATTTTTCGATTTTGTTCACACTTGTTGAACATTTCATTATTTTATTCATAAGTTGTCAAGACTCTGGGCAGCCATAAAACTCCTTTTTCGAAAGCTAACATCTGTATCATTCACCTAACCATGTGTCTTTGCATACTACAGGACGTAAGCGAGAGGGCTCTGGTTAGAGCAACTTGTATCAATGACCCACGCTTTTTAGCTTATATAAATTTCGGCACATTCCATTATATGTTTGGGGAGGGTCATGTTCTGTTTCATTTTGAACTGATCCGTTTCAAGGTCCTGTAATATGGGCCAGGGCTCGGTCTAGACTCTAGATCGAGCTTAGACCGTCCGTGCGTGGTGAAGAGCCACATCCTGCACGAGGTGACCCTGCTAGACCGGCATGTCATTGAAGAATCCGACTGTCTGGGTCAACTAAACACGGCGGATCTAGAGGAGCACATACCTCGAAAAACAAGCCGGGTTTATGAAGACCTGCACCCGTGATTGTACCTACTGATGAGGGTATTGGATTATAGTGTCACATCCAGGTTGCAGTGGCGCCGTGCCTGGACAATGTCTAGCCATTAGACAAAATCCCCCCTCACTTTTATGATGACACACGATAACAGCACTAGGGTTCAAGCCCCTAACTACTCAGTGGCAGCTAGCTCCCTGTATGACGGGCCCTCCCTAAAACCCCCGGGAGGGGTGGGTCCTGATAGTTGCAGCAACCCTGTTACTACCCTTTTAGTTCGTAGGAAAATCCCTTTTCAGGTTAGCACCTTCAACTGTAGGACTCTCAACCCTGTATCACGTAAACAGGAGTTAGCTCACTCAGCCTTCCTGCATCATAATGATGTTATCTCCTTGCAAGAGCATCGCCAACACCACAAAGAATCCCTAAGAATTGAAAACATCTTATCATATCAGCTCATCACTGCTTCTGCTACGAAGAATTCAGTTAATGCATCGGTTGGTGGTGTTGGGTTTCTTTTATCTCCTAGAATTCAGAAATCTCTCCTATCTGTAGAGAAAGTTAATAGCAGAATCATCTTGCTCCATGTAAACGGGAATCCTCGCCTCACAGTCCTCTCATGTTATGCTCCTACTAACTGCAGTGATATTGAAGAAAAAACTGCATTCTACAACGCTCTAACCAGGATCATCTCTAAGGTACCTCCTCACAACATGCTAGCAGTGTGCGGTGATTTCAACGCGAAGCTCAGTAATAGCTACGGTTTCACATACCATATGTCAACCAACGACAACGGTGAACGACTACTGGATCTGGTAGACCAACACCAGCTGATAGTTGCTAACCGCTGTTTCCAGAAACCGGCTAATAAAATTTGGACCTATGAAGACCCCAAAAGAGCAAAGCATCAAATTGACTTTGTACTCTGGCGGAAGAAGTGGGCAAATAGTGTGAAGAACTGTCAAGCGTACAACATCATGCAAACTGTCGGTTCAGATCACCGGATTGTAACATGTTTTGTTCAAGCCAGCTACAGAGTCAACAAAACTCCAGCACGGGACCCTCTTAGGAGCATTGACTGGACTCCACTGATCCACGATTCCAACATGAAACACCAGTATGCAGTGGAAGTGAAAAACAGGTACAGTGCACTCCTAGAGGAAGCAGAGCTCGAGTCCGACTACGACCTGCTCGTTAAAAGCGTTACAAGCACAGCACTTAAGGTGTTGCCAAAAAAGAGAAAGAGGAAACGGGAAAATCCTTACAACGATCCTAATATTGCACACCATCGCAATATCCTAAAGGATGCGTCCCTGAGTCACAGGATTTCCCCCTCTTTTTCGTCCAAGGAAAAGCTTGAAGACGCAAAGAAGCAACTGGACGAAGCCTATAATGCTGCTACTTCACAGCACATTCGACAACAGACTGACCTGCTGGAGAAAACTAACCCTGAGCACAGGCATCGCAGTTCCTGGCACATCATCAGGCAACTAACATCTTCCGACACTGTGCCATACTGCAAAGTGCCAGGAGGCACTACCGAAGAACGGCTCAACATCTGGTTCGAGCACTTCAAGTCCCTTCTAGGCACAGAACAGCCTCCGCCGGACCTCACCCTCCCCTTCTTCAACCAGCGAGTCTCTGACACCCTGCCCATCAGCTGCTCATCCTTCAGCATGTCAGAACTCGACACGGTTCTGAAGTCCGCCAAGTCCTCCAAGTCACCCGGTCTAGATAGCATCCCTCCCTCAGTCTGGAAGCTTCCCCAGCTACGTGAAAACCTCCTCGGATTCTGTAATAAAGCACTCATGGATGGTGTGATCCCCCAAGCCTGGAAAACGGCCTCTATCATTCCTATCCCCAAAAAGGGTGATCTTACTAATCCAGGAAACTACCGTGGCATTTCACTGGCACCGGTTGCAGCGAAAGTTTTTAACAAGCTCATCCTCAACCGGATCTACCCATTCATTGATCCCCTCTTGCGGCCAAACCAAAATGGTTTCCGTAGAGGAAGATCCACACTCCCACAGGTCCTTGCCCTACGTCGTATACTCGAGGAATGCAAGATCGGAAATCGTTCAGCCGCAATTGTGTTTGTCGATTTTTCGAAAGCGTTCGACAGCATTAACCGGGATGCCCTTTTCCACATCCTCTCCCTCTACGGTATCCCTACTCCACTTGTAGATGCTATCAGGCTTCTTTATGACTCATCGTTCTCTCGTGTCCAGACCATCGACGGCCTTACTGACTTTTTTAGGACACTTATTGGAGTTCTTCAAGGGGACACTCTAGCACCCTTTCTCTTCATCGTCGTCCTTGACTATGTCCTCAGAAGCTGCATGGGTGACGAATTCGGTCTTACCATCGTGCCTAGGAAAAGCCGAAGAGTGCCTGCGGTCAAAATCACAGACCTTGACTTTGCTGATGATTTAGCCTTAATTTCAGACACCATAGAGCAAGTCCAACTTCTGCTGACAGACCTTGAAAATGCAGCCGCACAAGTTGGTCTTGCTATGAATGCTTCTAAGACCGAGTTCATGTCCATCAATATCCCTGACACTGTCGACTTACATTCTATCTCAGGCCGCCAGATTAAACAGGTTGATGACTTTAAATACCTCGGCTCTTTCATTGCGGACAGTAGAAAGGATTTCAACACAAGGAAAGGAATGGCCTGGTCAGCCTGTATTAAACTGCAAAAAGTCTGGTCCTCTGGCATTTCCGAACAACTGAAAGTCAAGTTCTTTAGAGCCTGTGTCGAACCAGTATTGCTCTATGGATCAGAGACATGGACCATAAACAAGCAGCTTGAGAAACGCCTCAACGGATGCTACACCCGTCTTTTAATGAAGGCCAAGAACATCTCGTGGAAGAAGCATCCAACCCTCAAGCAGATCTATGGCAACCTTCCATCTATTGCCTCAGTGGTTGCGTCGAGGCGTTCCAGATTTGCTGGGCATTGCATGAGAGCTTCTGACCAAGTTATCTCCACTATCCTCCCCTGGCGACTTGCCCAATCGGGCCGTGGAAGGAGACCACTCACCTTCCTGGACGTAGTAGCTCGTGACACTGGGCTCCAGTTAGACGACCTTCGAACTGTTATGTGCGATCGAGACGTGTGGAGGCAGACAGTGAATGGGATTTCGATTGAGGATCGCCCAAAGTAAGTAAGTATTATATGTTTGTTCGATTTGCTGTACATTAGAATATAATATGCTAATTTTAAAGAGTTTCAAATCAAATCATCTAGGCGTAGCTTCCACAGGAGCCCCGTAGGCTAGGATCTCATGGTTAGGTTTTAAAAGCAGTGGTATGATATTTTTGTATTTGATCTTCTATGTATTACCATGCTTTTATGCTGTCTTGCATAGTGTGACATAATAATTCTGTGATATAATACACATTATACAGACATTTCGTATGTTCAGATATTATGTCTTGTGTGGTGCACTGACATAATATATTTCAGGTGTTTTGAAAACCACAGTTGAAAGGCCATCCGCTATACTATGAGTGCTGCCGCTTCCTGACCCCATAAAACTGTATTGTACATTGTTGAGCACAGAATCTCACCCATCGATAGTTTTATCAATTTGCACTGTACAACGAGCATGCACCTCACTTACACAATACTGTAAGGTCCATGGTATATTATTTGCAGCATGTTGCAACTTTAGGGGTGCTTTTTTGGTTGACTTTTATTATGGGGAAAAATTGTATAAAAAGAGTGCCGCGCATTAGGATTGGCATGCTAGGTAACTTCCGTATACAAGTGTGCAGTCATTTTATTTATTTGTTTATTTGTGGCATATGCCACGAAATTGCAATTTTTTTAAATTAAATACTTTTCAAATTTTACAGAGTACAGCAATAGATGAATATAAAATAGAATCGTTCAAAATATCGCCCCCATCTGTAAAATATGATGGGCACCCAAACACGGTAGACACATAGTGAACTCAGTGGCGTAACGAATGGCCCCACTGACCCCGGTGTGCAGGGGGGGGGGGGGTGCCGTCTTAGGGGGGCGCCAAATCGTCGTTTGAATGTGGGACAATTTCGAAAACTCAACTAAAGTACTAGCAAAACTGCGCGTT